GGTAATATCGCGCTGTTCCGATGCTGATATCGCACAACCGATAAGGTGCGAAAAAACCTCTCTAAAGGAGGTTCAGAGACGGTCAGCGCAGATATTCTATATACTATGCGGCGGCCCTAACGCCGGCTCTGGTGGCTGGCTGCGGGAGCAGTCAGCTGCTAGGGTACCACTTGCACGCCCGTCTCCAATGGGTTCCTTCATACTACGCCGCAGGCTGCCGCAGCCTGCGGCGTAGTATGAAGGAACCTTATCCTTGTGGCTACTCACCAAATTCGGTGCGCATACTATCTACTATCCTCACTGAAAATATCGTACTTTTCTATAGCCATAGCGTGTTTGGGACGACGCGTTCACCTCAAAGATCTCGCCGTATGGCGGCGGCGTTTTTTCAAGGCAGGGTTTGGGCAAAAACTCAATTTCTATCTTCATCGTCTACCTGGGCCTACCGCTACGCTTGATTTAGCTGCTGACGCAGAGTCGCTGTGAGATCCTACGACTTCAACTATGGTGACATGCGTACTTTGCCGCAGAGCAAAAAATCGTAGGGTGGAGGCTCTCTCAGAGCGTAAGCCTTCGAACTCCGCCAGTTTGTGCAGCCTCGCGAACTACAGGCCCAGCAACGACATACAACAACATGCAAGAGGAGCATTTGCCAGCGTAGGCGGCTCAGAACTGGTGGAGTCCGTTCCAATACCGCTTCCAGTCTAAAGCTGTGATTTCCATTTACGCGATGACGTGTGCGAGGTCGTCTGCTTCTACATGCCACATCCCACCACCCTCGACATTGCTCGGAGGACGCTGTCTTTGAGTCGTGATCCGTATGCGTCCATACTCCTGGATCTTCGGTTGACAAATTGATAGCGTTGCGGACGCGATGCTCCGCATTTAAGGCAGTAGCTCGGCAAATTTTCGACCTAAAATTTTTTTCCTTCTTGTTGTCTGACACGCTGATTCCGTATGTAGCACGCGGGGAACGAACCATAGCTGCTCATGGTGCGTTCGAGACCTCTTAATTTCTAGCTGGGCTTCCGTCTTCCTTCGCCAATAGACAGTACAGATGTGACATTCCATTTACTTGCTGCGCACAAACAGCGTACAACAATTTTCACAAGAAGGTTTAGCTGTACATAAGAAAAAGTGAATGACACGACTATTAGACAGTTACGAGATAGATGATTCACCTACAAAAGCAGTTACCTGTTCTAGGCTCTCGTAATCCAGGCTTCGCTGCCTCTACTGTTCATCTTTCCTCCTATCTTAATATACGGCTTATATCACCTTGAATTCATCAACTTCACAATTATAGAGTATCTAGTATATGTTCTGTTCAGGTTAGCGTCATTTCCGTTTTGTTAAATATCCCACATTTACGTCGCATGGTGAAATCTGGGATCGTGCCTATACTTCGTTTCAGTTTTTACCCAGCAACAAGTCCATTTGTCACGCTATATTTTGTGAAGCCATTCAATCTGGCTGTTCGTCGTTTAGTTGGGCTTCCAGTAAAGGTAGCCAATATCTCGAAATATGAACCAACTGTTATGACTTCTATGAAATAACTACAGAAACACATATCTGCTGCACAAAGGTTGAAAGCATTAGGAGAACCATTGTAACAACGATAAACACGCTGAGTCGTCCATACCGGGTCTTACATATGATAAATTATTATAACAATTCAAATGTCGTGTCACAACTTCATAACAAACAAATAAGAGAACATTATTCAGTGAAACTCTGATTCATCCACAAACACCAGCACAAGTCGATGGATGAAGCAGTATAAACCACAAAATGATAAGCAGTTTGCAGAAATTCGTAAATGTTCTGTAGGAACTGCCGAGATTTCGCATGAGGGCAGTGATGACCGATAATCGAATACTGACAACTCCTAATTCTACAAGCACCATTACCGGTTTTACTGACAAAGTTTTCTTTTGATAGGTACTTCATCAATAAGACCAAAGGAGAAGCGGCCAAAAACTGTAGGATCGTTCTCCTACTGCAGTAATAAACATCAAAATCGGCTCAGATGCAAATTATAGGGGCCTGCAGGATCGCGAGAGTCGGCCGCGCACGC